GAAGTCTAGTTGGACATTGACATTTAAGCATGAGATGAAGCTTAATTGATAGAAGTAGAGAAGGTTTTAAAGGAACACTCTAAATGGGGGAGGATTGTTGAGTTATTTAGAGTGTTGAAGTGGAGAGCTCGCTCCACTTGTTAGCGCGCTCGTGAAAGGCAGGCGCAACCCGCTCCGAAAGCCAAACAAAATCGCGTTGAGTTTCTAGAAAATCTGGCAGATTTTGGAGGCGCGCCCGCGCCAAAGTTTGGCACGACCCGCGCCTAAGGCGCGACAAAACCGCGCCAGGTTTATGGAAAAATTGGAAATTTGGAATAACAGGGAGGAGCGCCTGCGCACGAAGGTGGCGCGCCCGCGCCTGAGGGTGGTGCGCCCGCTCCTCACGGTGGAGCGCCGGCCCCTCCTCCCTCTTCTACGGTTTTGCGGTTATTTCCTTTATATTGTATCGGGGCTTTTGTTTTTTGAGACACAGAAAATTATCTTCCTCTCTGAAATTCTTCCCTCTCTACACCATTATTGAAGAAACTTGCAATCTCTTCTTTAATCCTCTATCATTTAAGTTAATTGATTGAGAATTTGATCATCATTCTACACATTTAAGTGCTTAAAGTGTAGAGTTCGTATATTGTATCTCAAAGCGTATTTCTAGTTCAACCCAAGCACCGTTGTGGGGGAAATTAACGCTTTAGGAAAGTGTTCTCACGCCTTAGACGAGTATCAAGTATCGAAGACTCACGTGGTCCATGGTATTCTCGTGTTCTTGGATGTTCTTTTGGCTTGGAGTGAGGCAAGTATTGTTTTTCATACTTGTAGTTTAGTGTGATTCTCTGTAATTTTTACTTACTAAATTTGTTGGTGTTTGGTTGTTGTTGTAATTGGTATTATATTACTTTGTAATTTCAGTTTTCTCAAATTCTTAGAATTAAAATTTGTTCTTTATTTGCATTATTTCCTAACACACATGAGAGCCTTTTAGGCTTGAAGTGTGGATGCGACATGGGCCTTCCTTATACCCAACACTTAAATTCCAGTTTGAAGAGAGGGGTGGATGGAACCCGTGACCTTTATGTCACGCTGGCTCCGATACCAGGACCAAAACCTTTGGTTGAGAGGTCCTTCAACATGGTATCAAAGCCAATGTGACACAAAGGTCACGGGTTCGAATCTCATCCACCCCTCATTGGAAAATGGAATATTTCGCACAGGATATGTGGGAGGCCCATGTTGCATCCGCATTTCAAGCCCAAAGGGCTCTCATGTAAGAGGGCGTGATAGAGTATAAAACATATTCCTAGGCCTTAACCATCAGCTTAAACTTTTGGTTGAGTTGGTCCTCCAACAGTAATATAACGTTAACTTTAGCTACATTTTTTTAAAATTAAAGTGTACGATATAATATAAATATAGTACATGATCTTACGGCTTGTTTGGTAGGTGACCATAAATGATGATAAAATCAAGGTTCATCCCCATGACTATACTAGATCACCCCAAATTGTCCATTTTTCTTTATAAATTTCTATCCCTACTACCTAATACATCTACTCAATAAATACGTGGCAATGGATGGTATGAAAAAACAAGAAAACACATGCTTGAGGATGAATTTACATTATTATGGGGATTATTACAATGTTAATTTCCTTCTAATTTACACTAATTTATTCCCATTATCAACATTTATAACCGGCTACCAAACGAGCCATCATGTAAATTAAGTGAATTGAATTGTTGATAGCTTTAGTGAATTGCATAATAAACTAATATTGAGATGATTTGATGAATCAAGTGCTCTTGGTCAGCGTATCTGATCGACAAAAAAAGATTACATTGATTTTCATTATTAGTTTGTATTACTTGCACGACTCACTAACATTATTAGCTAAATTGTCGCACGAATTATTGTTTATTATCGCTCGTAAGAAATGCGTACAATAAAATAATAATTTATCTAATATTTTCTAAATTTTAATAAATATTAACCAACCATTATTGTCTTTAATCAACTGATTAAACTTGAATTCATGTATAAATAAAGATGATGCTTTTACAAGACAATTAGTTGTAAATAAAAAGCTTTAAAGTTTATTCCTTACAAAGCTAGACTTCCTCTTAAGGTATACTTTAAAGTTGTTAAATTTATTTAATTCAATGTTGAATACTTCGTATAATCCAATGTTCTTGTTGTATAACCTGTAAATCTGTATTCTGCTGATATTTTCTTTGCAGGACTGTAAGCTAAACATACAGCAATATCTTATAACTAATCGATTATTGATTGAAAGTTGATCCAATGGAGCGCGAAGGTGCAGTAGTTGATCATGAGGAAGAGGTTACGGCTCCTCTCTTGGCCGTCGTCTCTGTGGATGAAATAGTAGAGAAAAGTCTAGGACGTTTAAATTGGACACAGATCATACAAGCGATCCTAGCATCTCTACCGCCTTTCTTTGACAGCCAGCAAACGTACATGAGTAACTTCGCTCATGTTCAACCAAAATGGCACTGCACAAATACATATAATAATGCTTCTTGTATCTCTAATAAGTCTAACATATGTAGCCTCTCGAGGAACGAGTGGAATTGAGATACAGGCAATGTGCACACTTCGATCATATCAGAGTGGGATCTCGAGTGTGCTAGCTCGTTCATCACCAGCTTCCCAACAACTTGCTACTTTGTAGGATGTCTATTAGGTGGGTTCTTGCTAGCTACTCTTGGTGATTCATTGCTTGGGCGAAAGAACCTTCTTTGCATTTCATCTATGGTAATGTCCTTAGCTGCACTTGCCTCTGCATTTTCTCCCAACATTTGGGTGTATTCTGTTTTTCGATTCTTGAGTGGGGCGGGTCGTGCTCCGCTTGCAATCTGTGCACTGGTTTTGTTGACGGAAAGAGTTGGCAAAAGATGGCGGTCACAAGTAGCTATGGTAGGATTCATCCATTTTTCACTAGGAATATTGGCATTGACTGGTATTGCCTACTTAAACCGCGGTTCTTCTTGGAGAACTCTGTATTTATGGACTTCAATTCCAGGAATTTTGTGTTCCATTGTGTTATTTCTTTCTTTTTGAGTCCCCTAGATGGTTGTTCATGCAAGAACGATCCATCGAATCCATTGCCATCTTACGAAAACTAGGATCTATAGGTTCAATTGGTCACGATTACATGACCTCGCTCATGACCAAACTCGACACACAACCAAACATTACACCAAACGTTACTAGTATTAGTACTAGTACATTTGCAGCCCTTGAGATTCTAGTTAAGAAAAGATGGGTTGTACAACGATTGTTAGCGTCTATGCTCTTAGCATTTGGCATCGGTCTTTTGTACTTTGGCATGTTTTTAGGTGTTGGTAACTTCGGGTTTAACATCTACTTAACCTCGACGTTCAGTGCATTATTGTCCTTGGCCTCGTATCTACTCACTTTCCTGTTTTGGATCCAAAGGTGTAACAGAAGGACCTCGTTGCTCGGGTTTTGTGCAATTAGCGGAGTAACAAGCATACTTTTCTCTATAGTAGGCAAAAATAAAGGCGATCATGATTTTCATGAAGGTATATATGTTGGACTAGAACTAGTGTCACTATTTTGTGCTTGTATGGCGTACAACCTCGTGTTGATGTATACGGTGGAGCTCTTTCCTACTTGTGTACGAAACTTGGCCTCATCACTAGTAAGGCAGGCGATGATCCTTGGGTCGGTTTTCGACCCTGTGTTGATTCTCCTAGGGAAGCAAAATATGGTTTATAGCTACGGGGTGTTCGGAGTCACAGTGCTTCTTTGTGGGTTCTTAGTTCTTTGTTTGCCTGAAACAAGAGGCAAGGTCCTTTGTGATACAATGGAAGAACAGGAGTTTATGGATAACAACTTTAGCAAGTCTATAATTTGATTTGAATTGATTTTTTGAGTATTTCACTCATGTATTTTCCAAATTACTATACATAATATAGTTTGTATTTTTTCCCTTGCAACCTACATATACACTGTAAAGTTTGTTAAGATCTCAAATGGGGGCCTGACTTTGATACTCTCAACTAACAATGACTCATATAGTTACGTTCCTAAAAGCGTACCCTCACATGTGAGACATCTTTAATACCAGATCCAAATGAGCTCCATTCTAAAAATATATGGTAATAGTAAGAGTAACTCCTTATAAAATAATTAAAAATATTTAACTCTTTCTTCTTTTACAATGTGAAATACTCAACCAACAAATTGAGAATTGAGATGAAGCAACTTGTAATCAAACTTAAACAATTTGAAGATCTCTAGCCTAACATCCATCCTATTTAATACTTGTCAAAAACTGAATATGATTAAATTTCTTGGACCCAATAAAAAAAAATAAAATAAAATAAAAACAACCTATTCAACCAATACATCTAATTCAATTCAATAGATTTTTATTCTAACTTCAAACTACATTTTCATACATAAGTCTTTGTAATATTGCTACCATTTCTTGTTGTTTCTAGGTACAATTAGAGCTTTACATATTAAACTACTAAAGGATACATTTTTAGTCCTTTGCTCGTTTAAATGATTACAAATGAGCCAAAAGCATATGCAATTGAACAACAAAAATAACTTGTTAAATGTGTCTAAAAATGTCATTATCATAATTCAGGTATGAATCAGGTCAAATCATATCGAGTTTGATTCCTGCAATGCAAATGTGTCATAAACTAATAAACATTAAACATATAATCATATATATCCTTTGTTACACAGGCTCGAATTTGGGTCTTGTGTTCAACACTCTAGATTTTATAAAATGTCATATAAGACCACGATATACTTAGCTGTTGTATCATGTCATATTGTCATGTCGAAGTGTCGGAGGCTTCAACGCCCAACAGTCGGCGTACATCAAGGTGTCAGAGTAACATCGATCGTATCTATTCAAGTCACTTCAGGTTAAGTCGGATTATTTTCAAATCACAATGTACCATCTCATCCAAGTATTGCCAAATATGCCAAGTAATTTGAGGCCCAATATAACAACACATTTCTCACAACAACCTGGGTCATTTTGATTTCTGCAATTCTGCATTTGCTTCAAGTTTAGAGAGAGAAAGAGAGCAAATTTAAGAGAGAGAAAACATGGGAGGTGGACATGGAGGTCATGGAACAACCTACAAGGGGATGACTCTTCACGCTCCCAAACGATGGCATTCCGTCACCGGCAAGGGCATGTGCGCCATTATGTGGTAATCTTTCTCTCTCCTCCATTTTTTCTTGATTCAATTTTAATTTAATCAAAACCCTAATCGATTCGAACAAATTCTTCATATCTTGTCTTCATTAATGGAGGGTCTAATTCAGTTGTTTGATTACTGATCGATTTCACATGTTTGATATTTGTTTTGATGTGGGTTTTGCGTTTTCTGGGAATTTTAGATATTGGAGGATTGATGTGATTTCGTTCGTGCAATTGATTAGGGTTTGTTATCGGAAAGTTTGAGGCTTTGATGATTTGAGTTTAATTTTATTAGATGTTTATTGTTGGTTGTCTTGGTACCCAATGTAAGAGTGATTAAGATTATGGAATTTGTAATTGATTTGGGGAGGTACTTTGATACTCGTATGATTCTGGAACTGATCAGTGTAGAACCTTGCTCGAAGATGACTTGTGTGGAATCTCGCTCAAAGATGACTAGTGTAGAATCTCCCTCGAAGATGAATTTTTGGATTGTTGGAACTGAGAACCTTATTATTGATATACTTAAGTTGGGTGAGAGGCTCTCTTAATAATCTTTGTTACATAGACCTGTTGCCTGATAACACTCGACTATTCTGAGTAGGAGCAATATCCTGGATTTTGCATGTCCTTGCCTGAGTGCTCATTGCTGTACATAAACCCTTATATATCTAGCTAAGGACCTTGTAAAAACCTTGGGCAACACAATCCAAAAACACTTGAGCAGAAAAATTTGCATCCTTGCTTTTTTTTGGGATCAAATTTTCTGTATTATGTGCGCATTTGCTCAAGGATTTTGTAAATGGAAATAATTTTAAGGAAATTGTGACGATGGAGATGATTGACTGAATAGTGAGATGTAGGTAGAAAGCCGTTGCTTGTCATGTGCAGCCCAACAAGCTCATTTCCCCCCACCACTAAGAAGAAGAAGAGCCTGCAAAACTTTAAAAGGAAATGCTGGTACTCATTGTGTGAACATTCTCTTGAGATTTTGAAGTTATTGATGAAATATTTATAAGCCCTCAGCTCTTGCTGTCCTTTTTCATGAGCTAAAGTCTTCATTTATCAAGGACTGTATATTTTCCTTGTTGATTGAGGAAATAGATGGAATTGACTGCTATCAATCTATTTTGGAGAAAAGGAATGCAGATTTCAATTTATCTGGTCCTAAATATATCTTTCAGGTCTGAAGTTTTAAATAGTGACTTGTTATCATGTGATACTTGGGTTCATATAATGATCGAGTTTAGTAAAACAAGAGGCAGACTGGTTTGTGATTGTTGATGCGTGAATTTTTTTTAGTTAATTGCTGCTTTAACACAATCTAGAAGTTGAGGAGTGAGGAGCTGAGGACAATTGAATGAGAGTTGTGAGCTTGTGACATTTAAATTGAGAAACTTTTGTACAATTAATGGTCAACTTAGTAATTAACTTCAAGTATTTCTTACGAGTATCTTTTTGTATATGGGTGACACTACCAAGTGTATAATCAGAGTGTGCCTTCTTTCTCTCTCCTCTATATTCTGCTACTCCAAATTCCTCGAGTTATCCATCTCTTTTTAAAAATTTCAAGGGGCTCCTGCAAACTTATCATGTCCAAACATAATTGTCCATGACTGTTCAATTTTCTGAAATTATTTTTGGAAGTGTTACGAGTTATATATGTCATTTCTTAATCTTCTAGTTTTGCACTCTAGAGATGGTGCCAATTGTCATTTTCTTTGTTTGACTTGGCTGCACTCTTTTTGATCAATTATAAATATTTTCTTGGGTACATATGCTTTTGATATCTGTTTGGGTAACGTTTAAATATTTGTTTGAAAGGCTTTTGGTCAAATTGGACACCAATGCACCTAAAATGTCTTACCTTGGTCCATTAGTTGTTTCCCAGACGATTAATTTTTTTTCTAAAAAGCTAAGATATTTTAATTTTCAGGTTTTGGGTTCTGTACAGAGCTAGGCAAGATGGTCCAGTTGTATTGGTGAGCTCCATCTCTGCCGCTTTTTTTTTTTTTTATCATGGAGCAGAATTTCCCTCCTTAAGTTTCTTTTCAAAGCTTTCTTACACTCGCTATGAAACTTATGTCTTGTGCGCTTGTTTTTTAGGGTTGGAGACATCCCTGGGACGGGCATGATGATCATGGACATGGAGATGGACATTAGACAGATTTCTGGTATTTCATCAAACCTTGTGATTTCATTTGGTGATTTGATATGTTAGGTTACATGATTTAAAATTTTAGTTTGAAAGACCAGTAGTTATATTATCAGAAAGCATCAATTGTGATTGAGTAATTATAATTTACAACTATTATTGTATTATAGAATTTTCATCCAACAATTTTTTCTTCTTTTATAAAATCATTGTATTTTGAACCGGACTTATGAAGTTAAATAATAGTAGAGGATAACAGCATAACACACCTTTTCAATAGCTAGCTCACTCAAACTATACAACTATTTACTCCCTCCATTCCAAGAATCTGCCATTTTCCAGTTTGATTTATGAAGCACGTATCATATACTCTGTTGCACTAAAAATGTGGCTTCCTCATTTGGAGTTCCAGAATTTTAGTCTGTGCTGGAGTAAACTCTAGTATTAGCTGATTTTTGAAATCAGTATCCCGCAATGCTGGTTTTGTGGAGTGAATATAGAAATTAGTGAGCTGCCCATGGATCATAAAATGAAGTAATTGAGATACCAAATTTTTTTAGTAGCTCTAAGGATCCACATATACTGAAGTGAAGGTGTGCCTTTTTTCCATCTGAAGGAAATGAATTTCACCTGCTTCTCATATTTGTTTGATTTCAGGCAGCTAAATTAAGAGCTTGAGCTAAATGGTGAAAAGATTTGCTGTTTGACCTTATTGTGAATGCAACATCAGACCTTTGAGTAATTTCTGTTCAATAATGTAATCTTGATATTTGCTGTGTTATCGTATTACAATCTGGTGTCGCTGTTTTTAATTAAGTTTTGGCAGCATGTTTGGTTTATTTTTAATATGTATGGTTTGGCGAAACACTGCATTCAATCAATTGCATGTTTTCAGGGTTGATTATCTAGCAAGTAAATCAGGACCTGGCTTCTGAAGTTTTCAATGTCTTCCATCTTTTGCAGTGTGTTTGGATTTGACAGTCTGAAGGGTTTGGCGCATACGCCATTCCTGTTTTATGTGTTAAAATCCTTTTCTGTAGCCATGCTGGATCCAACCACCTAGCCACTGAATAGCTCCTTTCACCCTTGTTATAGTCACCACCACCTTCAACATCTCTTTCCGAACACTTGTAGACACCAAAAACGTAGGCAGGTTTCATGTAAGATTTTGCGAGACTTGTAGTGCAAAACTTGCTAGCAAAACTTTGCGAATTTTTAAGAGGTTAAAGCAAGTAGAGAGTAACGATAAGAGAGATTCAACAAGAAGACACTACAAGGCCAGACCTTTTTTGTTTTTTTACTACTCGTAGTAGATAATGATACTGTTACAACAGGGACTCAGTAAAGTTCATACCCCAAATCTGATATAAGAATTCACTCAAATTTGTGACCAAATTCCTATCACAAGTGTTCACTTTAACCCTTGACCAACTCTTAAAACAAACAATTGATTTATTATTTCTTTCTTAGATAGGAAGGTTTGGTTCATTTTCTCTCAAGATAAGACTTAACTTATCAGATAAAAGAAAACAAGAAAATATTGTTGGTGATGTGGATCAGTTTCCTGACAATGTCCATAAGATGATCCAACAAGGTTACACGATTTACAGCTCTGTTCGATTCTCAGGTGAATCTTGTAAGGGCAATTAGCTTATCCCTATAAAATAGTAACAAAAACATGGTTTATCACTTTCAGATAAATGTAGGGTTAAAGTTAATATAAAGGGTTAGTGATAACCATTACAAATAGGAATAGGTACTAATTAGTTGTTGGTGCAATGGTGATTGTAATTGCACTTGGTAGGAAGGACTGGGTGTTCGATTCCCCGCAACAACAGTATATGTCAAGATTAAAAGCCTTATTCTAATGAGTGCATGGATGTAATAATATTGAATGACTGTTTGCTAATGGAAAATTATTGTTTATATTAAATGAACGAGCCATCAAAGTTTTATTTCATTATAGACTCTTTCAAAGGTTAAACTTAAGAACAGTAAGTATCTTGAAGCTTCAAAAAACTTGAAACTTGTGGAACCGACTCAAATACATGAAATACAAAAAAACTTTTTTTATCTAATTATTTCCTCTTAGTTTAGTCAAAATAGGGTGGATTTAAACATGTGATCTATCTTAAACACTTGGCTAAAACCTCATTGGTTTGAAAAACTGTAATTAGTTGAGCATACTAGCTACTCTGCCTTGATAATTATGTACGGAGTATAATAATCGGCGTTCGAAACAAGTTTCTCAGAAGTCGTAGCTTCGCTACTCCGCTACGACTTGTGAGAAACTTGTTTCGAATGCCGGCTGCTATACCCTTAGAGCAGAGTGAAGCAAAAATGCCCTCGCTCGGGGGGCTACGGGGATATTAAAAACTCTTACGGCATTCTCGTACATTCACAGTTTTTGAAACTTTAAATTCAAGGAATTCAGAAAAGCTGTTTAGCAAAACCTTGAAGAAGAGGAGACTTTCCTTATCGAAGCTAGGTATAAGGCACCATTCTAGGATTCCTTTTTTTGAGTATTGTGACCGAAATGAACTCCCGCTTCCATTTGAGTGATGTCTCTCCCTTTGATATAGTACTCATGAATCCACCTGACCCAAACCTTATCTTTTTTGTTTGCTAAATCCCAAAGCAACTTACAAACAGATGCTTTGTTCCAACAAGAAAACGGATGCGCGAAAGTCACGCCTTTCATTAAATATTCGTTTTTTCTTGATCTCTCGAAAAGAGCTCGGACACTAAAGAACGAAGCGAGTAAGGAAAGGGAATACCAGATTGTTCATGCTGCTAAAGAGAAAACTAGTATTAATAAACTATCTCCTTTCTTCTAACTCCATGGTCTCAATCTTCCTCCTAGTCGTGAGAATCTGCCCCTGCGTAGCAGACTCCTCCCCTGGTTCTCTATCGAGATTTATCGCTTTGCCGAGGTAATGGATACCGCTCCTGGTGTTTGCTTTAACCTAGATGAATGGTTTGGTTAAAAATGCGAACCCTTGGGAGCACCAACCCTACTGAGGTTTCTAGCAACCCCCCAACCTTTTGGGTTGAGCGCCCGCCTCCTCTTCTTGTAGGGGTAAGCCATATGTCGTATTGGATGACTGTTTGTCAAGTCTTAATAGCGCATGCGCTATAGCGATAGGACCGTAAGGAAAGGTGCGTAATAGGTAGTCAGCCCAGCCTCTCCGCCGCCAAAAATTTCGAAAGCTCGTATGGCAAGAAGGGACCTCAGAGGTTCCAGGCTTCTTTCTTGTATCTGCAAAATAGCGGAAATGGCGATTTCGAAGATCACTTATTGGTTTTACGAAAAAGCTTTTATTTCCTTTTCTTTAGCTCTTTCTTTTCTTTCTTTTTCTTACCATCATGAAAAGGGTTTCAAAGGCTTCAATTCTTCTTCTTTTTCTTTCGAAAATGGAAAGGCTTTCAATCATATGTTTGCACGATACACAGCCCCCCTATACCATAGCTGCCTTTACGAGGGCTATGCTCTGCTTTGCCCACCGCCTGGTTACCAGTATAGAATAGAAGATTACCAACCTCGGGATTGATTGTTGACGGATGGCTTGGGAAAGCTTCAACCAAAAGGGATGAAGCGAGCAGTGATGCCAATCTTTTATCCATATAATTAAAGGGCTCTTAGGTCTAAGCTCGGGATGATGATGGGGCTAGCAACCGGTTTATAGCATATGGTTTAGGATCAGATAAGATCTGTAGTTCTATTCTGGAATCCAAACAAAGAAAGTAACTAAATAGGCATCAAGCCGTTCAGATGAGACCCGAAGAACAGGAAGAATAAATAGCAAAGGGAATCCTCGACTTCCTAAAATCACAAGGTAGCATAGCCCGTTAAGTGAAGTAGTGTGCGAAAAGGAATGATTTGATAAAGCAGTAGCCGGCTCGGGGGTAGGAAAAGGTGGGTCAGTCTAGAGCCAGACGACTCGTGAAGAGAGAAAGCATCTGCCCCTTCTATTGACTTAGATGAGGAGTTTACTATTCTACTGAGAAGGTTTTCACATATTTGACCCGGTCAGGATAAAAGATACAGAAATATGATTTGGATGAATCTTATTTCAATCCTTATAGAGAAAGTGTGGATGAAGATAATTCTCTGACAGCAGAGTGTAATCTAATAGCCTACTTTACTTATTCCCCGCGCAAAAAGAAGTAGCAGTTGGATCAGAAGAAAGCCTAAATAAAATGTTCTACGGCCAGGTGGTGTGGTCCTTCGCTTTTGATTTTACTTCGCTTTTGTTGCTCGAGGGACAAGATCGAATCTTTCTTCTAAAGAGGACGATTGTGTAGTCCTTCGCTTTTGATTTTACTTCGCAAGTGATCTATAGTTGGTGCTTTCAGTTCCCCGACCTCGGCGGGTTGACCAAGAGCCTCCTCTCCTTGCGGTAGGTGCTCCGGGGTCCGGTCGGTCGATGGTGCAGCGGAGGCATTTCCCTCGTTATCTAAAGGGAGGTTATTATATTGCCTCCAACTTCCCGAGTCCGAGGAGGATGCCTCATTCCTGTTTGGCCCTTGGTTTACTGTAACACCCCAATAATTCTCTCTTAAAAACCTGTAAATGCCTTTATCAAATTTGCAAGAGAATTACTGACGTTCTACCGCCACGTGTTCAAACGTTAAGGCTAGTTCAGAGTTTAGCAGCGGAAAAACTAACTCAGTTATAAATAAGTTTCAAAACCAAAAATCAAAACCAAATTTATTCTTACAAGTTGGAACCATTAAGGCCCTTATTCAAAACCCAATAAAAGTAGTAAAATAATCAAACCAGAGTTAAATTAAATCCAAACTTATGAAATGAAATATTCTGTGGAAACATCCAAAACTCCACTCAAAATCCCACCACCTTGATGCAATTATGTATAAACCTGTGATTAATCTGCTCCCCAATATTACAAGTGTAAAAATTGGATTATTACAGGGTCATTGAAAAGGCGAAGGCCATGACCAGGAAAAAGACACACAAAAGCACGTAATCAGCAACGCTGAGTACATACAAGCTACGAAATATAACAAAGAATCCCTAACATGTTACTAAAAATCAATCAGCACACACAATCTAATTATTGACTCAAACACACACGCCTCAACTGTTAACATTACTAAGACTTCACTAATTACTAATAATAATTCATTTCATTCATTGGTTGGATTAAGAAATAGACCAGGTTGTCTCCCCATGCTCCATTTCGGAACATCAATAAAGAAAAACCCCATGCCTCCTTTCGGAAACATCAATAAACATCCAATGGCAGACGAGCGCGACTTCGTGGTTATAGCTAGTATGAGATCTCATCTAACTCCTTATGTTAGAAAAACATTTGTAAATAAGAGACTCGTAGATCAGACGGCCTCTAGAAAGTACACGACTAATACCCCGTGTACCCCAACCCCTGTTTGTCATTACTCTAGATGTGCACAAATCCAGAGTTTTATTGCTCATCCATCTTGCACTTTACGTGATTTACAAGTTTAAACTTGGTGATGACTCAAATGCAAAACAATACAACCAATCATACATCCATCATTCAAACAATTCAAATTTCCAATTCAATTCTTGATTTATTAGTGACAAACAATATTTATTATTAAATCCTTTAACTACCTCGGTGTATAAACACCTTAAGTGCATAGGGCACCTCAATCCTCAACCTCGTCTTATAAGACTTTAAATCTCCCTTTACTCATTCCATTTCATTAATTTTGAACGAGTAATAAAATAATTCATTCCATATATTCATGTACCTTTGTCTCTAAACCCATCTTGCAAGTTATTGCATAAATAACACTTACAAGAAAAATTAATACGCATTTCTCATACATGAATCAAACCAATCATCACATTAATCATCAATCAAACTCACTACCAAACAATTTCATCCAATCTACAAGTTTCCTAACATGATTCTAAGTTTTCTCAGTCCTTAGACAT